GTGATAAAGTTTTTTAAACTTTAGGGTCAAATTGATAAGTAAAATAGATATCAGTGATACGTTTTTCAAACTTTGAGGATCTATTTGATAAACAAATGCTAAAATTGTTACTCAAGTGATAAATTTGAAAACCTTAAGAGTGCGTTTGGATCAGGGGCATATAAGATAACGGGAGTAATCTTTGTTTATTTTACAAGATTTCAGTGTTTAGTTTGCAAGTAATAAAATATTACGAGAATCTTTTATTGTAAATAGTGTTTACAGTTGGTAATGTAGGGGTAATCTAATACCCTCCCCTAGGGGTGTTATTGAAACTTTATCGAGTAATCTAATTTTATACTTGTTTTGCCTTAATTAAATACCGTTTTGGACACAATTGCCCTCAAATGTTTACCAAATAACAATTACCCAACCCTTTACATTTGAGAAATTAGCTAAAACACCCCAGCCATAAAAAGTTTAAAAATTAACAAAATACCCCCAGCCACCCAAGACCACTGCCGGTCGTTGCTCACCACTGCCAGCCTCCGACGTCAGTCACCGTAATAGCGCATGACCGGGGGGATCTGGTTGGTTGTGTGCTGATAAGGCATTTTCTAGTCAAATCTGACCGTTTCTATGGTCGTTTCACGGCCAGAGATGTGGCCTTGAAATGGCCATAGATCTAGTCGTGAAAAGGCCATAGATCTGGCCATGAAACGACCATGGATTTGTGATCCATGGTCGGAAATGGCTTTGCCGGCACATGGCCGGCCATATACGTTCAGTCGTGCACCATTCCGTTAACTACTGACGACAACCAGCAGTGGTGGTTGGCTGTCGGCAGCGGCTTGGGGTGGGTGGGTGTGATTTTGCTATAAATTAAAGTTTTATATGACTTAGGTGTTTTAACAAAATTTCAAATATAAGGGGTTAAAAACAAATGATTCAAAAAATAATATTATATTAATATTAAAAAAAGAGGGCAATTTAGTAATCTATATATACCCACCCATTTATCCTCTCAACCAAACATATTATTCACCAATTTATTCGAACCAATCAAACACATTTCTTAAACATTCGCAGTAATCTTTAAGATAATCTGTCTTTTCGTTAATGTAACATCTTCCTATAATGAAATATTAAATGATTCAAACGTCCCCTAAAGGTAAAAGACTTATTAGATTAGAACTTTGGCTATAATATAAAAGAACAAATAAATATCGACTTTAGAATTTTATGAAAAGGAACTTTGTAACTTCAATATAATTCGGATTAGGCATTAAATGAAATAAAATTAATATTATATAATTAATGTGTCTCATAAACTAATATACAAATAACATTCACAAGCAAAAGATTAAATTAGAAATGGCAAATATTACATGTAGCTTTATTTTTCCCGTTCTTCAATATGATTATTACTGGGCAGATAATATTACTATATACTCTCTATAAACATTAAAATTTATAAGAAGTATAACTATACATCTCAAGTTTTTATTTCAAACTTATATATTTGAAATGTTGTAACCTAGATTTTACTATTATCTTGTGAGTTATGTATTATTCGAACCAACCAAAGTTCTTATTTTGAAGTACCCGACTTGGTATCACTGGGCTGACCACCATCTTGGCTGCTACATTGGCCGCCACCATCCAGAACCACCGTCCGAATCTTGAACCGGTCAAGCCTGAATGGCGATTCATCACCATCTATGGCACGACTACGCGGCGAACCAATGCTTAAACTCCTTTGCAGAGTTCTCACACCTCTCATTTTACCATCAGATTTCATTGCTAGCGATAACGCTGTACCAGTTCTCTTGATAAAATCAGCAAATTCATCATGAATTCCTGGAAAAGTTTTCTTGAACAAGTCTCCTTTCCGAACATACAATTTCCTGAAATATTCCAACAACACAACTAATCTCGGATCAATTGATTTCCCAGAACCAACTTTTGGATTCTCCAATAGTGACAAGTCATCATGTATGCCCAGAAACTGAAAGTTCCCACTACTCGAACATGCCATATCCTTTTCATCATCCAAGAAATTCCCCCCTCGATAACTTTCCGGTGCACAAGAATCTGGCCTTGCCGCATTGTAACGATCTTCCATGAACATAAAATTTGTTCCACAAATTGAGATGATGAACACAGAAAATTTGAAATAAGCTTAAGCTTGGTGTTTCGTGAGATTAACTAGAAATAATTGCTTAGTGTCTGAAGTCATGAGTTTATATATATATATATATATACACATGAAGATTCACTTGTTTAGCAATCAAATGTTTGACAAATAAAATTTTGATGGCATGACCGAGTCATTGTTTCTACGCGACGTGAAGCTGAGTCATTTTCTTGGATAATTCTGGCCATAGGCTCAATCACATTTTGACCCCCAATCTATTGTGACAAGAAATTTTCTTCTCTTGGTTTCAGAAACACTTAATATTACCCCCATTTTCTAAATTCATGCGTTATAACTTAACCTTGAAAGATCATTTATTTCATGGTTATCAAATCGTGTATCGTATCGTGTATCAAAAACCTAATTTTTTGAATCGTGTATCGCGTATCGTATCGTATCGTAAGATACGTCTTTTTCAAAAAAAAAATAATAAAATAATCAAAATTTTCTAAAAATTAATATAATCCCCAAGATTAATTAAAGAATTTTGTGGTATTATTGACTTTAAATTACGGTATTACATAATCAAAATTAATCACAAAATTCCAAGATCAATGTCAATATCTATATCTCCACTTATATTATTATTATCATGTAAAATGGGCAATACATATTCCTCTTTACTTTCTCCATGCAAAATAGGTAAATTTGGACAAGTTTTAGTGAATCGGGTTGGGTGACCCGGTTTCGACCCGATTTTTTTTTTGGACATTTGACCCAAATCAATAAAATCGTATCGATTTATATCGATATTTTTAAGGATACGAACGAATACGTATCGTATCGTAGGATACATATCAACGTATCGAATGGTTTAGGATACACCCTCTGATACGTATCGTTGGCGACCTGTATCGAATCGTATCGTATGATACGTATCGGGTATCGTAGGATACTAACAACCATGATTTATTTATCAATCTAATGTTGAATTAGGTTATCTATCTCGGAAACACTAAATGTTACTCTCATTTTTTTAATTCATGTATTAAAGCTTAACCGTAAAAGGGCATTCTTATCAATTTACCTCATATATATAACGCTGTGGAGATAGACAACCTAGTCTAACATAATGAATTGACAAGAATGTCTTTTCATGGTTAAGTTTTAACGTCTGAATTCAAAAAAATAGAGATAACATTGGATGTTTTTGAAACCAAGGGGAAACACTGCCCTTACAATAGATTGGGGGTAAAGATGTCATTCATAATTTCAAACTGTGATATGATATGTTTGAATTAATTAATTAATGATTGTGTCTTGGGTGCGTGCGTAGTTGTGGAGGCTTAGAACTCACGTTTTGTTCCAGAAAGTTTCAACAAAGTTTTATTAATTTAGCTTAGACAGGATTTTTTTTATTTTTTATTCCAGTTTAGATAATTTCTGGTTCTCCAGCCGATTTAACTTGGAAGACTAGTAGTTTGACCATATAGAATCAGTCATCGTTTTTCAATAGGAAATTATCAGCGTTTCTTGTAGCATTATCACTACAGCTAGCAAGATATGCATACTAAATCAACATTAATTTGGCAGCCCGCGTCTCAGGCGGTGTACATTAGATTTTGATTTAAAATTTTTACTAAATTCTAAATTATTTGAGATGGACAGATGATTCAGGGTTTTCTGCTATCCTTCTTTCTTGTGAAAATCAGCTTAAAAATAAATATTTACAAATTTCCATCAATTTTTTCTGTAAAAAAAACATTATATTTTTAGGTTATGATTCATTTCTGTAAATCGATCTTTTTAATTTTTTCAGTACAAAACGAATTAATAAAAATAAAAGTATACACCCGTAAATTTTGGTTAACTCCTCTCCCGATCGAAGAATTAGAGATTTGGAATTTTAGAAAATAAAAGATGTTCGCATATGTAAGTATAAGAATTTATATCTTGGTTAGGCTATAACTAACTTAACTTTGTTACCAAATTTTCAGCCCTAAATTCAATACAATTTTAATGGTGTCCGAGTTGTTGAGTTGATAAACAAATAACTATCTCTAACTTCTTTCTCACATCCATTGAATTACTAAGAAATCTACTATCAAGAATTCGTCTCAATTTAAGTCAATATTTAGAGTTACTATAGTCCGACTCTTTTTTTTTTTTTTTTTGGATGATCAAGAGTGTTTGAGCCAGTTTACACGTACTTTAACTAATCTCTCAGGAACCTAGAACTACTGATTGTAAGAGCTCTAATAGTCATCCCTATTAGCAAACGAAGAGAGATTCAAACTTAAAACCTTTTGAGTAATACACTCAGTAGTCTGTATTGAAATACTCAAAAGTTTCAACAGTCTCGAAAAAATGGAGATAACATTTGATCGGACTCTTTATATTATATAGTTTTTTCAAAATTCATATCCATACACCATACTTTTAAGAAAGAGACTGTTGAAACTTTTGAGTATTTTAGTGGACAAAACTCACAAATCCTGTACACTTCCCGTACTAGATAAAAAGACATCTCTGTTCTTATATCAACCATTCCTAATTTTAAAATTTTCATTCTGACCTCTTTTAAAATAAAATTGTCTTATGATATTTCTTAATTAAAATTATAACCTTAATCTTGCTCATTGACTATCACTGTTACATGTTGAATTCGTCATCAGTGAATTAGTTTACATATTTACATGTTTAAAGAATGAAGAAAAGGTCCAACTAAAGTTTCATACATAACATATATTTACAAAGAAGACTATAATTTTTAAATATTATAAATGTTATAATATTGTCACAAATCAATTAAACAATACACTATAGCTGCCACAAAATTTGAAGCATGCCTACTGCTTTTCTTTTTTCTTCCCACGAGTCTTGGTCAGTTACTGTCACCCTGCTGACTGCCACCTTGGCCACCACCCTGGGAAATTCCGTCCAGAATTACCGTCCGAATCTTAAACCGTTCAAGCCTCAATGGCGATTCATCGCCTTCTATGGCACGAGTGCGTGGCGAACCAACGCTTAAACTCCTTTGCATAGTTCTCACACCTCTCATTTGATCATGAGATTTCATGTGGGACGACAATTCGCCAATTTTCTTGGAAAATTCGACAAACTCGTCATGAATTCCTGGAAATATTTTCCTGAACAAGTCTCCTTTTCGTTCGTAGAGTTCCCTGAAATATTCTAACAACACAAGTAATCTTGGATCAAATGATTTCTCAGTAGTTGTAACTTTTGGTGGATAATGATCATTTTCCAATGGTGAAATATCATCAGTACTTGAACATGCCATATTCTTTTGATCATCCGAGAAATTCCCATATTCATAAGTTTCCGGCGCATAATATCGAGCATCTGTGTCCATGATTTTGTTTAGAAGTTTGGATGATGATACAGACAGTAAGACTGAGAGACACTTATCTGGGCTATGATGAGAAAATTGATAATGAATTTGCTTGGTGCTTGAAGTTATGTGATGTGTTAAGCCAGCTAGAATTATATAGAGATTTTGAGCAACCAAAATGTTTGAAAAATCAGAGTTTTGAAGCCATGACCAAATCATTCTTGTTAAATTTCCAGGATGATTCTAGCTTTAGGGGTGGTTTTGACGAATGGAATTTCATCCAAGCCAGATTCAATGGAGTATAATTGGTCATTGAAAAGATTTTCTTAAGAAACAAACATCACTAATTTTTTGAGTCAAAACAACTTTTCTTGTGCTTCTAGATGTTTCAAGGAGCTTTCTGAGAAAATAACTGTAAAATATTAAAATACTTTACTTCTGTTTGCGTAAATGTAGCAAGTGTTTTACCATGTTCTGTTTGGAAAATTAAACACTTTTAAGAATATCCAGAATCAACTATCAAACACATGTTTTACCAATTCAACATGACTTTTCGTAAAAAAGATCCACAATACAGATAATCTGGAAATTTGGGGAAGAGTTAACGACTTTTTCCCACCAAAAAAATGGTCGTTGACACTTTCTCACCCTAAGACTTTTAAAATACCTTTTTACAATTAAAATATTATGTTTTCCTCTGGTTTGGTTAGAAAATACAGTGATTTATGAAAAAAAAAAAACCCTCTTTTTTCTTCTCTTCTTAGCCTCTTCCATTGCCGGCAATTGTCGCTAGCGTTGAGGGGTGTCGGCAACCAGAAAATCAACCAACTAATCACAAATACTACAAATAAACATTCATCCATCATCTTTCAACTCAACAAACACAAAAACCGAACGAATCAAACCCAATTAATCGATCAAAACTCAAAAAACCCTATGGTGGGGAAGCTTCAATCGGTGGCGATTGGTGAGCAATCGAGATCGGGAATGTTGGGGCTTTTGGAAAAGAAGATTCAAAGAGTCGATTGGTGGTGGCAAGGACGATTTCTGACACCGAAAATAATAGGAAATCGGCTTGGAAGTTGAAAGGTCATGTGATACATGGCCGGCGATCGGTGAGCAAGGGACAGTGATGGAGGTAAGGGTTTTGTAGAGTGGGTTGTGGGCAGTGTGGTGGTGGTTAGGGGTGTTCAAAAGAACCGTTCGGAACCGAAACCGTTGGGTACCCTGGGTTTGGTTCTGATTCCTACCTAGAACCGATCCTCAACGGATAGGTTCTGGTTCAAAAAAAAGGGAACCGACATTGTACGGTTCCGATTCCGGTTCTGGTTCCTACAGTTAAGAACCGGAACCGGAACCGGAACAGAGAATCGGGACTGAAAAAAATATTATTAAAGAGTGGGGGGTTTTTTATACTTTACCTACCACATATAAAAACTTCAGATTAGGGCAAAAAATTTCATTTTCTTTCTTCCCTTCTCAATTCTCACGATCTTCGTCTGCTCTTGCTCTCTGTCCACTCACTTCAGATTAAGGCAAAAACTTCAGCTTTTTTTTCTTTTAATTTGTCTGGTCTGGTGAAGCGTCATCCTTGGAATCTAGAAGAAGACACTAAAGCACTCTAATTTCTTAAGGTAATTTCCATTTCTTTCTTTTAATTTTATTTTTGAATTTTATTTGACCATAAATGAACTCTATATCACACAATACCCAACCTGTGATGTGTATACTGAGTAATTATTGTGTAAAAAGTCGTTATCAAGTTAGCTCTGGGTTTATTTGTGATGGATTTGATTTTATATATCTATTCATTTTTCTTATCATAGTGATGTTTGAAAATCCTTAGCATTGTTTCGGTTTGTGAATGTCTTTGATTTGATGTTACTGTTACTTTTGGTGATATCATAGATAAAATTGAAATCCCTGCCTTCTTTTGCTCTGTATTTGTGGCGCTTGCATTTGTGCTGGTGTATGTAGTATTTTTCTTATCATAGTGATGTTTGAAAATCCTTAGCATTGTTTCGGTTTGTGAATGTCTCTTATTTGACGTTGCTGTTACTTTTGGTGATATCATAGATAAAATTGGAAACCCTGCCTTCTTTTGCTCTGTATTTGTGGCGCCTGCATTTGTGCTGGTGTATGGAGTAACTTCATTTCTGCTTTAATTTGAATTCTAAACAGTTTTCAGTTGCACACATTTTACATAGAAATCCCCTCAATGATTCGTAGTGCCTTGTTTCACCATAAATAATGACAAACCGAACTGCAGCTACTAGAGAATCCTTTGGAATGCAATACTTGATGTTTATGGAAGTCTGTTGTATGGATTTCTTAAATGTCTTTGTTAGGTGTACCTTATTGAATTGCAATCATCTCTTACTTATTTTTATCTATGTAACATGGACATTCAAAATGAAATGTGAAAAGTTCTATCAATAAAAAATAACCCAAAACACTTTGGTTAATAGAGATTCTTCTTTTCATAACGTAATGGGTCCTTGTTTATTTTGTCAAACTTCCAGTTAAGCAACACCAGTACTTCTTCTTATCAATCAACCTCAACTATTTATTTCTTTGTATCCATAGATATCCCTTTCAATAATTCAACTTCTTTTTTCAACAGTGTCATTATATATATGTTTTTTAATTAACTGGATGCATATCTTGGATTTGTTTTTTTAATTAACTGGATGCATGTCTTGGATTTGTTTTCTTTTTTTCTCAAAGGAGAGAATTAACAAGTACAAGATTTTACAGATAGCATATTCTGAATATTATAACAATATCAGATTTAATAAATTATCCCTGATTCATTTGGTTTGGTATTGGTGGGGTGCATGCATTTCTACAATTCTTGAGTTTATAAATGATGGTGACTACAGGTTTAAAGATTCAATGAAGTCGAAGAAAATGAGATGCTAAACACTAAATCATGAGGCAAGCAATTTAGAGCATGAAGCATGAGATATTTTTAGTTTTTCATATTTGGATGTTGTTAATTGTTATGTTACTTATTTTATATGTTATGTAATTTCATCGTTTTAGTTTTGGAGTTTATAATTTTGAATTTGTGATTTTCAACGGATTATTGTAATATTTTAATTTTGAATTTGTGATTTTCAATGGATTATTTTAATTTTGGAGTTTGAAATTTGAAATTTATAATTTTAATTTTGTTAACAAGTGCCAAGTGGGGGTATTTGTAAGTTTTTAAGAGTTTTTTTGTCATTTTAAAAACTTTCGGGGGGGGAGGGGTGTAATGAATTTTACAGGGTACCCAGAACCGGAACCATTGTTACAGGTTCTGGTTCTGGGTATCTAGGAACCGAAACCGTCGGTTCCAGTTCCAGTTCCGATTCCAAAATTCAAGGAACCGTTAGTTCCGGTTCCTTCCAAAAGTGTAGGGTATCCGGAACCGAACACCCCTAGTGGTGGTGTTTGGGGGAATTTCTGGCAAAGAAATCGATCAGAAATCTAGCTTGAAGAGTCAGCCATGCGAATGGTGGTGGTGGTGGGAAATGGTGAGTGATGATGGCAAATGGAGGCTTGGGCTTTGTAGAGGAGGTGATGGGGATTCTGTGGGTGGTCTTGAAAGTGATTTTAAATGTCAAGATCGACCGAAAAATGGCGAAAACCGCCTGCTATGACACTATTAACTTGCACTGTCCGTTTTCTTTTCTTCTTCTCAGGTGGCCAAATGTTTGTTGATCATTCTACCCTCACTAATAATGGATTTTTGATCATTTTGCCCTTACAATGAAAATTACGAAAAAAATTGTGCTTTGGTACTAAAAGGATATTTAAAAAGTGGCGGGTATGAATTTGTGAATGGGCTATTTTTTGGGTGGGAACATGTCGTTAACTCTTTGGGGAATGACAAAACTTTACTAATCCCTGATGACCGCTTAAATTGTGATTGATAATAATTTATTGGATACAACAACAAATACAAGAGACAAACGTGAACATAAGTTGAATCAATATTTTTTACAAACACAAAATACAAGGAAATAATGCAAAGGGATGATACAGAGAGTGGCCTATCAAAGGCCAAGATTTTGAAAACAAGATGGTACACTCTAAACCAGTATTCTGACACCTAGGTTAAGCTAAAGTATTATCTATACATATTTGGTCTGGTATGATCACTGTAAAATGAGTGATCAGCAGGGGGCATCCCAACTGACCTACTAGGGTGAAATGTAGGAAATCCTTCATTAGTTGGCATCCTCGGCATTTGATCAGCATAGGATTGCAACCTGCAGTAAGTAAATCAGTTGGAGGAGGATAGACCTGCATCCAGGTTCGACAGAAGCATCCCAACTGCTCTATTCAGAGGGTATGTTGAGAATCTTTGGTCAGCCGATATTCGTGGCATCAGGTCAGGAGAAGAGGAAATGGTGGAGTAAGTAAATTGTCTGGAAGAGGGTAGACCAGCATCCGAGTTACCGTCAAAAGTTGGCTTCTGAATGGATATTCTTGATGATATATCTGAGTATTGGCTGGTGAAAACCCGATCTTCTGTTGAATACGTTGACCTCCTATCCATGGAAGGCCTAGTGACAAATTGATCCCCAGTTACCAGAAAATTACCAGCAGAAGAAGTGAACCTACTATCCCTGTACGAATTCGGTCACCAACAGTAACTCCAAGACCTGTACTAGGATAATAGTTTGCCAAACTTGGTTGAGAACCAGAAACTAGTAAGTTGGCTCTGCTCTCCTCAACTGCATAATCAGTTGGTAATCTGAAAAAAAGTATAAATCTTGTGAGTTTGTTTTGTGTTTGTTTGATTTTGTAATTGGTTGAAAACATTATTATTAATTTGTGACTTTAGATATCACAAATACAATATAAAATTAATTTTTTATATAATTAGAGGACAACTTGATTTGCACCAATCATTAATATATTAATAATGATATTTTTATTATTTTATAATGTGATTAGTTGACTAAGTATGCTCTAATAGTAATTAAATTAAATCTAGTTGATCTATGCCAATAATTTAAATAAGTCAA